GACGTGGCACTCATCTATTGTTCTCCCTTCTACTTGACAGCGCTATAGCGCCGGGGTCTAGAGCATCACAGTGTCAGGTTTGGAGCACCGCAGCGCTCCGCTCTCTATTTGTTTGCAAGTAAATTATGCAATGCTACATCGTTCAGGTACACAACACTGTAGTACTGTGCAATTGTACGAGGAAAAAATTTTCCTTGAGCAAAGCACCTGAATTTAAGTAGGGGGGAGGACCCCCTGCAACCCCCGCGAGCTTGATTGATTGAATTGAGGTCTAAGACAGTAGTACTGTAATTCCTCATAATCTGAATTAAAAAAAAGTATATCTTTTATCTCTTATCTAATCTACCAGAGCTTCTATAAAATCATTAACATAAATCAATCCAACGTAAACAAATCTAAAAATTATATACATCAAAATCTTTCGATATATTTATTCATCAAAATCTGATTTACAATAGCCAATAGATCAACTATAACATCGATCTATCTCAACAAACTCTTGACTACAAAAGAAGGAATTTTAAAAATGCTATATTTCCCTCTCCCTAACCTCCTTCCTCTCTTCCCTTCCTTTCCTTCTCTTCTTTTTCCTAGCTTGATCTCATCACCTTATCTGATGTATGAAATAAGCCGCATCAACCCCGCTATTCTTCCCCAGCTCCTCTGCTCGCGGCCTACAACTCCGAATTCCAGGGACTAGCGGGTAAGAGGAAGGGATGGAAAAATGCTATAGTGCTTATCTATATAAAATCTAATATAATATAACTAATTCACCCACTAGCACATTCCCCTTCCCCTAATGCCCGTCATGGGATTAAAAGATCAGCTAATGCATGCATTTTTAAGTGGGACGGTTGTAGTAAATGAAAGTGCTACAGCACTTTTAATTTTATATTAATTGAAAGTGCTACAGTAAAATCAATTAATTAAAACTTAATGATATCAATTAAATGAATATATATATATATATATATATATATAAATATATTATATATAATATATATATATATATATATACACTTATATATATCAAAATGCTCAAAGTTAAAAATAGATTTAATGAAAAGATATTTGATGTTTTATGGAGGCATGATAAAATGGGATAAATTTTGGGGCAAATTTTTATGTTTACCTTTTTGACAAAATTTTAGATATTATACCATCTCTATTAATAAAAAAATTACTTAATAGTCCATTTTTTCTAATTTTTTTTATTAGGAATAGTTTAGTAGTTAGTATATTTTAGTCCTTAGTCTCTTTCCTATAAATACCTAAGTCTTATGTGGAGGAGGGAGAGTTAGTTCAGATTTATAAATCTGAGAGAAGGGAAGGGTCTAGGACTTGAAAGAGAAACTAGTGGAGTCTAGGACTTCACCAATATCATTCTCCCACCTTTTCTTTGCTTTCCTCCACCATTCTTTTTCATCATTCCACAAGCAGCCTCTCCATTTCCATCCTTGGAGCCACCAATCCAGCCATGATCTGGGCTGTTTTCAGCCGACTTAGCTATCAAGAACCTGCTTCCAGTCATTCCCAAGCTGCCCGTCGTTGTCTCAACGCAAGAATCAATATTCTTGCTACCTCCTACCAATCTCCCTGCATTAAGTTCCTGAGCCGCCGGCCTTTGGATCGAGCAAACAGCCACTGATTTAAGGGCTTGACAGAAATACAGCTCACTGCCTTTGCAAGAAGAAAGTCCAGATGATGAGGGAAACCTCCAACTACCCTCTGGATCATCCCTAACAGGTTTTGTATTCTTCTATTCTGTTAATTCGTTGAAATCCTTTAAAATAGCAAAGCTGCCCTTGTTTTCTTTTTCTCTTCTTGAAATTTATGCATGAGTTTTTTTGAGTTCTGATTTCAGATTTGAAAAAAAAAACTGAGAGGGAGGGAAAGATCCCATCATTTCTTGGGGTGGATTTCCCAGGAGAGAAAGAAAAGAGAGGGGTTGTTGTGGGGTGGATTTCCCCACCTGTTCACTATTGAGGGGGTTTTCAGCTGTCAGTTTCAACAAGAAGTGTCCTCTCATGGACATTTACAGTTTAGCCACCTAGGAAATCTTCAAGAAAGACCCAAAAGACAATGCAAGTAGCATAATCATCAGAGACAACTTTCTTGTAATCAAGAAATCAATCTCCTACTGTTATTTTTCTTGTTTCTTTATGGAAAATTGGCTGGCTTCCCCCCGAGTCCTGATGCCTGCCTTGTGTAGAGATGTAATGATCCCTATTCATTGGTTCTCTGACCAAATAAATCTCTATTATCTATGGAATTGTGTTCATGTTCACATGAAGTTCTGTTGTGTTTTTCTCAATATAACAAATGAGATTCATTTCCCTCTTGACTTACTACGCTATGTATACTAAGTAAGCATTTCATTTATTTTTGTCCTAGGCGATGGTTTTGCTAAAGGAAGCATATACTTGGGAGAACTTGAAGTCGTGAATATCACTAAATTTCAGAGCATCTGGAGTTGCTATGTGTCAAAAAACAAGAGAGAAGGAGCCACTTTTTACAAGCCTTTAACGATTCCTGATGGATTTTTCTCCCTCGGTGATTATGGCCAACAGATTGGGCAACCTTTTCAAGGTTTTCTTCTTGCAGCAAGACCAGCAGCTAATTCGAAAGATGCAGAACTTCCACCCCTGCAAAAGCCCATAGACTATAAGCTTATTTGGTGCTCGGCAAACTGGCAGGATGATAGCCATGATGGATCTGTCTGCTTTTGGCTTCCATGCCCTCCAGAAGGCTATAGAGCCGTTGGTTATCTAGTCACTGTTGATTCCAACAAGCCCTCTGTCGATGAAGTAAGATGTGTCAGAGCTGATCTCACTGATACATGTGAGAATCATGAACCCATTCTTTCTATTGAGTCAAATAGTTTAGATATTCCCTTCACTGTTTGGAAGTCCAGGCCTTCCTTTCGAGGGATGTGGTGCAAAGGTGTCCCGGTTGGTACATTTTGCTGCAGCACTAACAGCAATTTCAATGATGAAATAGAAATCTCTTGCTTGAAAAATTTTGATCCGGCATTGCTTGCTATGCCGAATCTAGATCAAGTTCATGCTCTTATCAAGCATTATGGACCGACGGTTTTCTTTCATCCAAAAGAAACTTACATGCCCTCATCAGTATCTTGGTTTTTTACAAATGGAGCTACTTTGTACACAAGAGGTGAAGAAGAAGGACAGGCCATTGATGCCAAAGGTTCAAATCTTCCAGGTGAAGGTGACAATGATGGAGAGTACTGGATTGATTTGCCTGATGATCATGTCAAATATGGGAATATAGATAGCGCAGAACTTTACATCCATGTGAAGCCAGCTCTTGGGGGAACCTTCACAGACATTGCAATGTGGGTGTTCTGTCCATTCAATGGTCCTGCTACCCTCAAGGTTGGGTTGCTAAACATCTCTCTAAAACATATTGGGCAACATGTGGGAGATTGGGAGCATTTCACTCTTCGAATAAGCAATTTCACAGGCGAGCTCTGTAGTATATATTTCTCTGAGCACAGTGGGGGTGAATGGGTGGATATATCTGGTTTGGAGTTTGTTGAAGGCAACAGGGCGATCATTTATTCTTCAAAGAACGGGCATGCCAGCTTCCCTCACCCTGGAACTTATCTCCAAGGGTCTGAAAAGCTGGGAATCGGGGTTAGAAACGATGCTGCTTGGAGCAAATTCTATGTGGATTCTAGTGTTCATTATAAGATAATTGCAGCAGAGTATCTGGGGGATGTTATATCTGAGCCTTGCTGGTTGCAGTACATGAGAGAATGGGGACCAACTGTAGAGTACAATTCGAGGTCAGAACTAGATAAGATTCTTAGTTTTTTACCTGTTAATCTTAGGTATTCAGTGGAAAATGTCGTGGATAAGCTTCCAGTGGAATTATTCAGGGAGGAAGGTCCTACAGGACCCAAGAAAAAGGATAACTGGGTGGGAGACGAAAGAACTTAGGTTCTTTTTCTCCACCATTGAAGTTTGAATCTTAACGGGTAGGTTAGTTCCTTGAGAAACAGCCAAAGTGGG